CCCAAGCTCCTTTTAAGAAGTGCAAATCATGAACATTCGCAGTATTTTTTGGTCTAGCCTATTCAAGAGACCAGTTGGTATTTTCCTCTTAAACCCTGGGTATACAACCTCCTGATAGCTTTTTTCAGGTGATGCACATTTAACTTTAGATACATCTTTCCTCATTTTCTCCAAAGGACTTGCCGCATTTTAACTCATCATTTAGGTGCCAATATTACACTTTGCAATATGACCTGAAGAATATGACCATATCCTGACATGCTCTTCCACTCTTGGGAGAAGAATACGTCTCCCTAAAATATACCCGCTTCAATATCTTGCCCTTTCTTCATGCTCATTTCTATTCCTGGGAAAAAGAATTGGGGGTGTTCAACTTGCAACTTGGAAGGACATGTGCAACCACCCCATTAAAATTCTGTCCAACCATCTCCACGTGGAAAGATCACTACGTGTAAATGCAGTTTTAGTAACTGGATTCTCAGGTATATTGAGATGAAATGGCTGTGTTTGTGTGAACCCGAACATTTTAAAAGTGTTAAATGTCATGTTTCTTTTTTCCTAAATAATCTATGACGGAAGTCTGGCTCCTTTACATTTGAAGTAATGGCAGCTGATTCTGCCTACTTGCTGTGAGCGAGCTCCGTGCATCCTTCTGGCATTTTCCTGAGTCTGTTTACACGCCAATTCTTCCTTACCGTCGACAGTTGTAGGCGAGGGTTCTGGAGCAGGGGTTTCTTTAGCCTCCTCTGTGGTGGAGACAGGAGCAGAAAATGAATCTGTGGGTTCTTCAGTGCCTGGTAAAAGATTGTTAAACTTGTTACTCAGAAGTGGTCTGTTAGTCACGGAAACTAGAACTGGGCAATTCAGGTAAAAACTGGGATTTCAGGCTTTGTGGGAAACTGAAATAATGCAACATTTATATTTCTTGTGCTCTGCATGGGAATAGTATCTTTCAGTTTTAAATTATGACTGTGAGTTCTAGTAAAGCCGGGACATGCATACGCACATAAGCGCACGTGTGTGAGCAGCCTACACGTACAGCAGTACTCTCCCCCTGCCCCGCACGGCTGATCCCTGCCCCAGGCAGGAAGAGCAGTGCTCAGCCAAGTCCACGCCACTCCTCCAGCCACTGCTAGGAGGAGTCAGGCCAGGCACAAGAAGGTGGGGTGGTGCATGCTCCAGTCTGCCCAACTTGCCCCTGCACAGCAGCAGCAGTGCTTACCCGTGGGGAGACAAGTCTTTTGATCCAGACCAGCACCTCCCCCTCGGGCTTTCTTTCTTAAACTTTCACTAATACTACTACAAACTTAGACTCCAAGAGAGGGTATCAAAATACAAGTTTGCCTAGGGTGTCACTTTTCCCTAAGGCCAGCCCTATGTGCAACCACGTTAACTTTGCTCTGACAACAATACCATACAAAGCCCAGT